CGCTAAAATACCGAAAGATTGGCGGCTGCCTTCTTCGCAAACATCTCAGTACACGGAAACGTCCAGTATATCTGTGCTAGATGTTCCGCGAACATGCGGCATCTTGACCGAGAAAGAGTTGGATATTACTGAAAACTACGACGCTACGGCGCTGGTGAAGATGATGGCAGAGGGCCAGTTGAGCAGCACAGAGGTCGTGACGGCATTCTGCAAGAGAGCAGCTGTGGCCCAGCAGTGCGTAAGTTGCCTGACAGAGATTATGTTCGAGGAAGCGCTTGCTCGGGCGAGGGAATGCGATGATTTTCTGAAGAAGGAAGGGAGGGTTATGGGACCGTTGCATGGGCTGCCGATAAGTTTGAAGGACTCCTTCAACGTAAAAGGCGTTCAAGCAACACTTGGTTACGTCTCTTTCCTCGCGCACCCACCCGCCGCTTCGAACTCCTCTTTGGTAAATCTCCTGCATTCTCTCGGCGCGGTGTTCTACGTCAAAACCAATCTTCCTCAAACTATGATGACAGCAGACTCCCACAACAACATCTTCGGCCGCACGCTGAACCCGCTCAAACTCTCTCACACAGCCGGCGGTTCCACAGGCGGCGAGGGCGCGCTCCTCGCTATGAAAGGCAGTGTGCTGGGCGTCGCAACAGATGTAGCAGGTTCAAACCGCATCCCCGCGATCTGCTGCGGCGGCTCGTCTCTGAAGCCGACAGCAGGCCGAGTCCCGTTCGCAGGCGGCGTCGCAGTAGGCCGGCTGGGAAGTCCCGGTTCCGTTCCCGTAGTCATAGGACCCTGTGGCCGTTCCGTCCGCGACTACGAACTCTTTTTACGGTGTGTGAGCGACGCGAAACCGTGGCTTTACGACGAAAACAGTCTCAACGTCCCCTGGCGCTGTGTCCAGCCTTCGCCCCAGCCCCTTCGGTTCGGTCTCGTGAGGGGCTGTAAAGAACGACCGCTCCACCCGCCTATCGCCCGCGCGCTGCATACCACGGCGATGAAATTGAAAGCGCAGGGGCATGAGATTGTGCTGCTGGATGACAAGATACCAGATCTCTACCAAACTGCCCTGCTAGCATGGAAATTCTTCATGCTGGATCCGAAGAAGACGCCACTGCAATACATCAAAGATGGCGGGGAACCGCCTGTCCCCTCGCTATCAACATGCTCGTTCCCCGAGTTGAAAGATTGGGTGCCTAGTCTGGATGAGCTGTGGGATTTGAATGTGCAGAAAGCGGGGGTTGTGAGGGGGTGGCATGGGGTGATGGTTGGTGGTGGTGGTGGTGAGGGCGAGAAAGGACTAGACGCTGTTCTCATGCCGGGGTATCAAGGTGTGGCGCCGAAGCATGATACTTATGGGCTGCCGATTTACACGGTTGTGGTTAATCTGCTGAATTGGCCGAGTGGGGTGTTGGCGGCTGGGAAGGCGGAGAAGGGGGGTGATGCGGAGTTTGCGAAGGAGGGGGTGAAGTACGAACCGCCTTGTAAGTGGTGTTTGCGAATCGAGGGTATGCTTGAGGCTGACTTGTTGTAGATGATGCGGATGAGTGCGAGGGTTTACCTACGCATGTACAGGTTATGGGGAAGAGTATGATGGATGAGGAGTTGGTGGAGATTATGAAGGTTGTGGAGGGCGTGTTGAAGGAGTAGTATCCGCTTTGATATCTTTCTGCGATTACATGCCATCTTGATGAGCTATGTCGAAATGTCTGTATCTCAAACTCACACCACATAAGTGCATGTCTGCGGCAAACATATTGGTGTCTAGACATCCAGGGCCTGAAGCTTGCATCATAGCGGCCCTCCCAATCCTCCACCGACCCCAAACATCTGCTTAAACACAGTGTTAATCAGCACACCAGGCTCCATCTTCATCGGCACAGCAACCTCCTTCAACCTCCCCAACATATCTCCTTCCCTCTTCTTCACTGGCTCTTTCCCTGACGTCATCTCCACTGAGCCGCTCTCGCCGTCACCACAATCTCTTCCTTTCCTATACCAATACTCCGGCCAAGAATGCCCATTCCCATCTTCCAGCCCCGTTTTCTCCACGATGTGGCTTGCATCTGGTGAAATACCCAGAACTTGTACTCGTGAGCCTGAACTGCTCAGATGATACAGTATCTGTGCAGCATAGTGCTGCATAACCATCTCGTCCAGTGCAGCAAAGCCGACGGTACAGGGCTCACGATCTGGAGGAAAGTTGTCGCGGGTATAGTGGATATCTGGTGGGGATAGGAGGCGGAGGTGTTTCAGATGGGGGTGTGCGGCGATATGTGTCTAAAGACGTTGTCAGTTCTCGCTATTAGAGTTGGGGTAAGATAAAAGGGTTGCTTACTAGAGAAGACTTCTGGTCGAATGTCATGTCGGAGCCGGGTCGGTCTGGCATTGGATAAGAGAGTGGGTTGGGATCTCGGATCGGGTGGAGCGATTGGCGGGGGAAGTGTACGGCGAGGCCTTCGAGATAAGGGAGTGATTTTAGTAGTATTTCCAGATCCTTCGGGGGGTAGAAGGGTACGTGGTCTGTGATCTGGCCGTCTATGCCGAGTTGGCGGAGGGAGGTGTGGCGGGCGATACAAGATACATCGACCACGCGTCCGTCTGCCATGTCGAGCCAAAGCTTTTCTAGGCTGTTGAAGGAGTCGAGGAGTGCTTCGACAGCTCGTATGGTGTATTCTAGTGGAGAAGAATTCCGAGCCATTGTAATGTTCAACTCAGTGAGGTTGCAAACGGGCGCAAGTATTGTCATTAGATCGACGATGCTCTCGCAATCCACTAGCTGAAGACATTTGAGTTTGGATAAGTCGACGTTGCCCTGTATTAGAGCTGCAGCGCTTCGCCCCAAGACCACCTGCTCCAGGCTCATCCGTGATAACTTGAGTCGAGGAGGCGCACTGCCACTTTCAAACGGCCCTCCGAAGACTGTCCAATCTGGTCGTGCATCTGGGCGATCAGGATACGCCATGAGACTGAGGCAACCAGGACGTGTCACAATCCTGAGTTCTTTGAGATTCGGAGCGCTGCGCACGAGTAGTCCAGCCGCCTTGCATTGTTCGCTGCCCATATCATCGGGCATCACGGTGAGCGACTCGATACTCGCAAGCCGAGAGGATATCCACGATTTGTGAGCTTCGTGTGCGTAGTTTACGTTGGCAGTACCAAGCCCCAGATTGAAAAGAACATCGAGCCGCTTCAGCTTCGTCTGATGCTGCAGCAGATGGAACATCATTCCTGTGGGCAAATTGACTTCCCCACCTAGAGCGCATAGTGCCCCCTTTGGAAGTTCGCTGATGATTGTCATGAGTAGCATCTGCGTGGAATAGTCGCATGCGCCGTACAGCTTCTCAGTGCCAACGCGGGCGATGTAGATACTTTTTACGTGGGGTATGACGCCGTTCCCAGGCTCGAGGAGTGTGTTCAGCATCTCTGGGGTGAAATTATCCGACGCTATCGTAAGGTTCGAAAAAGCCATTGGCGTGATGATGTCTCGCCATTCGTGGTTGACGAGACGAACGGCTGCATTGGTGGCTTTGTCGCGTACGCAGGCGAAGATATTGGTCTTCATCTCTGCCGGGAGGCTTGAGAAGCTAGCTGGGCCCGATGATTCGGTCATCTTGAATGAGTTGAAATTTGGTGTGTGGTCAGGGGTGACAACAAGGCAGATGAGTTGAGTGGGTTGCGCTTGTCACTGGTGGAGCGCAACGAGTTATGGTTCCAAAGAACGGCGTGAGAGCCCAGACAACAGTCCGAGTGAAAGGCTCTGGAGGCGCTGACGACGTTTCTTCTCATTGTTGGCAGTTGATGAGTGAATGAGAAAGGATGGAAGGAGCGAGTTGTGAGTCCGTGATGGACAGGAAACGTAAGCTTTGCGTCGCATGCTTTTGTGTCGACTAAGTGTGGAGAGTTACAGATGTAGTTGTCGGATACATGTCTCTATCTAAGTAAAAGCCGAAGCCTTAGGTTGTCAAAAGTCTTGCGTACACCCGATATGCTTGCCGCAGACATGCGCTCAAGTGGGCCGAGTTTGAGAAGTCCCAAACATGGTTGCCGTAGACAAGCTATTTTGTCCTTTGAGTTTAGGGGCTTACAGATGTAGTTGTCGGATACATGTCTCTATTTGAGTAAATAACGAAGCTTCAGGTTCTCGAAAGTCTTGCGGATACCCGACATGTTTTCCGCAGACATGCACTTATGTAGTGTGAGTTTGAGAAGCCTTAGGTGTGATTGCCGTAGACATGACTTTTCGTGCTAGAAGTATAAGGAGTCATGGATGTAGTTTTTTTCATACACGTCTTTTTGTAAATGAAGAAGCACCTCCGTTCTTCCTTTGTGTGCGGCATGTGGAACATGACTTAAGAGCCATTATGGCTTCGTCATTTGCTCTTTATGTATTGAACTGTCGCGCTACTTCTCACACCCTGCTACCAATACCCATGCGAGACAGAAACATCCAATCCGAAAGTTTGAAACGAGCGGCCAGACAAATCATGTAGTCGTCTAGCTCATTTCACGTGGAGCCCGTTCCGCTACTTTGTACGTGGACAATCCGCCAGATCTACAAGGAGCAAGTTCCTTTTGAGAACTACAAGCAAGTCACCGCTTCCCAAATTCCTAAAAATAACTATCCAAGACGAAGACATGCACTTTCACAGATGCTAGTACGCTGCGCTCGAGCTCATGTAGCAGTCTGGCTTAGCTCTTCTGGATGGCTGGTATGGGAATCGCCCTCCATATGTGTCAGGCGATCGACGCCATCCTTCATGACCGCGGCGGCAGCCTCGAGGGAATAGGAAGAGCTACTGACATCCTTGGTCGATGTCGCATCCAGCGCGTTCAGGAACATGAGGTTGCTGTCAATTCCACATATAGCGTTGTTGATAGTGGCGCATTCAGCAGAGGGAGTGTCATCGAAAGACCCTGCTAGTGCCTGAAGCTATGGCATATTGTTCGCAAGGGCACACCATTCTAGCAGCGCTGGGTTCTTGAATCGAGATGTGTGGTCGAGTTCATTCATCTCGAGGCCTGCTGCAGTCCATCGAAGGAGAGTTGATAAGGTAAGCTGCTTCCGGGAACGGGTTCTTGTTGTTCTGACCAAATACAGCCGGACCCAGTTGGTTTACGGAGCCGATGAACATTCGCAGACAGGCGTTCCAGGAGTGGCTGAAGAAGCCAGCAATCTCGACATTTCTGGCGTATCCAGCTTCCTCCAAGAACGTTGCGTGAGATTGATGGATGATGTTGAAGCTCGAGGTCGTGGCGACAGACGCGGTTGTACAGATCACCGCGGCCTTCCCAATCAGCGCGCGTAGTCCAAGCTTCGCTGCAGCTTTGACCGAGTTGAAAAGGAGCAAGATCCTTTTGGGGACTACAAGCAACTCTCCGCTTACAGAGATTTCGACACAGCTCAGCAAGACGAAGACATGCGGTTTTGCGGGTACCAGCACGTTGTTCCCGGCATCACGTAGCAGTCTGGCTGAGCTATCCTGCCCGAGAAATGGAGGTTGCGAGCAGATGTCCAATGCGATCGAAGCCAAGGCTTCTACGTCCAGTGGCGAAGCTTCAGTCAATGGTGCAACTTTGAGTGCAGAGACGCGATTGCGGGGGAGTGTAAAGCGTGGGGGGGAGTGAGGAACACAGTCGTCGTTGAGGACGGCCGAAGTCTCAACGCCGGAGGGAAGTACCAGACGAGCATGGCGATCGACTCGGGGCGTCGCGAGCATGTACGAGAGCTCGCCGGAACGGCTCAACTGGTGCTTCTTCAAGAGCTCTGCCAAGTCCTCGTGCGACATCGTGCTGTGATGCGGACTGAGATCGGCGTACCTAAAGATTGGTGTGGGTAGTCAGTACATGTATCACATGAATTGGTATATGGCTATCACTCACTTGATGATACGAGTCGTCTCGAGCCCTTCAACGTCGTTGTCTACGATGTAGGACACCATCACATCGTTGATTGCGACCTCCTGCAGAGCGCAACGTTAGTGAAATTCCAGGCAATTGGTACAGGGCAGTGTGGCTTACATCGAGCTTGGAGCGAGAAGCATCGCCCTGCACGGGGAACAGTGAGCCTCGACCGGTGACGACGTGATGCTGAACGAACGAGTTTCGCTCGGCTTCGTCTTGGTCGATGAGGCGGTCGGCACGATCCATGATGACCGAACGTGGGTGCGACTCAGAAGTTGTAGTGGAATGGGGGTTGCAGCGTTGCTTGCAGAAATAGTAGGAGGGGGAGGTTGTAGAGGGTAAGATTGAGGTCGTTGTGAGAGACTGCCTCTGTAGGTGAGTGCCTGCCAAAGCGCACGAACCCAAGTTGCAGAGGCAACGATAACAGCGCGCTTTGGCGAAAAGCTCTGCAAGGCAGATGGAGGCGAGAGCGACCGTGACATTTGAAAAATGTGGGAGTGTTGGTTGGCTTGTATGGCTCAAAGGGCTGCGCTCGCATGGTGACGCGATAACTTGTCGAGAGACTCTGCAAGGCCAGTGAAGGTGAGAGTGACTGTGATTGTTGGATAAATATAGGAGTGTTGGTTGGTTTAGGTGCCTCGATCGGCTGCGCTCGCATGGTGGCGCGAAAGTTTGTCGAGCGCGTGCGAGAAGACGATTCTGAGACGGTCGCGCAAGGAAGCAGGTTGCCACCAAGTACTCACACTCTCAGATGTCTTTCTCGCTTCCACTTTTGGGTGACGATCAGTGGCGAGGATAGTCAGAAAGTTGAGGGGGTGTTGGTGGGGTTCGTTGCCTCAAAGGGCTGCGCTCGCATGGTGGCGCGATAGCTTGTCGTGCGACCGCGAGAAGACGGTTCTGAGAAGGTCGCGCAAGGAAGCAAGGTGCTACCAAGTACTCACATTCTCAGATGTCTTTCTCGCAGTCGCCATTGTTGGAGGGGAGGGGCGGGTGGTGGTGAGGTGGTGGTGAGGTGGAGGTGGAGGCTGGGTTGTTATAGCGTCGACGTCTTTTTATGTAGGCAGCAGGCAGCAGCGCAAGTCGCGGTGACTCACGTTTTTTGAGTATAAGGTGAGTGACCATAAAAATAAGGTGACGTCAATGTATAACGGCAAAGTTGAACGTGAAGCCGCCTTCACCCGCTTGTCTTGCTAGCTTGAGCAACTTGGCATGGCAACCGTTGAGTATAACGCTGTTGCCTTCCCCGATACCGGAGACGCGACATGCTGTGGCAATATGTCCCAGAAGTAAATTCTGTACATCGTCCATGGATACTAAGACCGGTACCAGAGCAGGACATGGGGGAGCGCTCACGAAACTGATCACTGCAACGCACAGGATATAGTCTGCAGGGCGTTAGCAATGCCATATTTGACTGCGGCAAAGGGAAGACGTACGGTAATGAACACCTTGAAAGCGGAGTCGATACAACGTCATGACGGAAGTCTCAGTACAGAACCCGGTGATATCAGAACAGTATCGCCCGATCGTGCACGACTTTGAAGTAATTATCAACTCGAAGATATTGCTTGTATGTATGTGAAACTACCTACTATACATATTTCTTTGATAGCGTGATATGATGACAAGCGACGTGTGATCAACCCGGGCTATACATGCTATAGATACGATTCAAACAGAGTTGCATAGTTGTAGTACACGAGGCTCTTATGCTCATGTAAGTAAAGTGTTTTATTTGAAGAGAGCATAGTTCTCCACCCATCGACACGCCATACCCTTCAAGAAGATCCTCCGTTGTGTCCAAGTGACAAGGTCGTGAATCTGGATCAGATGAGCACCGTACTCTGATGCATTGATGATTGTGGGCCGTAGTACGTCTTTATGCGCAGCAAGAATGAATCGTTGGCTTCTCCTGCTCGAGCACAGAAGGCTGATTGGCTGCATGCTACTTCTGCAGACGGACACGATAGCAGACGTGTGCTATGTAGCGGGCTTCGCACCCCTCGAATCGACATGTGATGATCATGTCGTTGTCGTATAAGGACATGACATATCGGAGATGATCTTCTTTCTTGTGCTCGTCGACGTGGATGAACGATGCGAAGTTGGTGGGTGGGCAGATGTCAACCGGGCATGCGGCGAGATAACACTCAGCGTGCTTGGTGACGACATGCTTCTGTAACGCCCTCTTTTTCTTGCAGGACTTGTCTCCTTGCTTGTCACAGTTTGGAAGAGTACAAACTAGTTTGGAACCTGTCTTGGGTACTGGCTTCACTTCCTCGTCTTCTTCTGTGATTGTCGGAGAGCCTCAGACAAGGATCGGCAGTATCCAGTGCAGCCATACCGAAGCGCTCACGTACGTCTTGAGTTGATAAATGGAGCGAGCACTGGCCGATTGAAGATCGTGCTTGTCGGCCAAGTGCAGTGCGTGGCGTGTGGTGTGCCGGCGCCTGCAGGATGCCCCTCAAGGCAGCACCTCATCCAAGAAAAGAACTGAACAGGTCTGGAGCCTAAATCAACATGGAAACATGCAAAGTGGGTGACACAACGTCGATGTAGACTCCAGGCCTGTTCAAGTTTCTCCTACGCTGACGTAGCGGAGTGGCCGAGTTCTTGACCGATGTCTTCTATAGTCATTTAGTCGCCGTGTTCAACGCGGGGAAGGTCGTTTGTTGCGCCGTGCCGTAAGTCATGCGATCGGAATGTCACATTTGCCATTGGTGTCTTCAACTATATCGTCTTCCTCATGTGCCAGCTTGACGGCGAAGTATGACCAAATGGTTTTGGTCTCGCAACCATTCTTCTATGCTGCAGCTGACAACACAGCTAAAGGATGCTCACTGTGCTGAAACCGAGCCATGTATACGCTTGGGGCTACAATGATACTTCTCAGAGTCAATGAAAGATGCTTCGTATGCTGCAAGGGAAGATAAGCTAGGCTTGAGATGGAAGAGAGTATATCTGTGTACTGCAAACCTGTATATAACGGCCACGATACTACCAGCAAGTAGGGGTGTGCAGAAGGGAGCTAGAGTGACTTTGAGAAAACAGGATGTTCATAAAAGGCTGATGGTAGCTCATCTCACCTCCTTCTAACACGGTATGACAAGACGCAATAACGCAAGTGTTTTCGCGGTGGTAAAACCTGAAGTACCGCCGAGTTCAACATTCTCCATGTACGCGATACTGGTTTGGCATTCCGATGACTGGCGAAGTCTTTGTGATATCCCGATGTGATCGGATGACTTGAGACGGCTGCCGTCGGAGGGGTACTGGACAGCGTCAGACAGCGACGACAACCGACATACGGTGTCCGCCAGCATCACGAAGCTGCTGCAACACCAACGTCACGCATCCAGCCATGGCAGCCTTGGAAAGGCATCTCGGCAGCCCTAGAAGCCAGGCGAGGCTTCGCGAACCACGGCTCTTGTGCCAATAGCGGGCAGCGCGATGGAAAATTCGCCGCCTGGAGTTTCGGGCCCCACGTTCTTTGAGGCCCTCGCCGCTAGTTGTTGGCCCGAGCCAGGTTCCGTCCCCGAGATTACCCGACCTAAAAATGGCGGACCCTGACAATGGTGCCTCGCAGAAAGGAGAGGGTGGGAGACTTGGGCTGGAAGAGGCATGTGAACACTTGTACATCCCCACAGTGGATTTTCCATGTTGAATTGACGGCTGCGGGCTGCCTTTAGACGCACTTTCGTCAAGCCATAGGCATTGTGTGGCTGCTACGGCAACGCTTGTGGGGGTTCCGTTGGGATCAAGAAGGCAGAGTTTCGTGAATTGGATGCAGAGCAGGCCGTCGATATATAGCAATTGAGACGTACGATAAGTCAATTGCAATGCGACGACCCCCGTGAGCACTTTTTCCCATTCACCATTGTCCCAACCCGCGTTTCCGAGGTGTTGATGAGGGTGCGCTCGGGATAGCGGGCAAGGCCACTAGCACGTGATTGGCTTAGTGCGAATTAGCGCTGCTGGCAGAATTTGTCGCAGCTTCGCTACAAATACACCGTTCTTCCCTCAACGCAGCACCAGCATCTGCAACCTCACCTTTTTCAACCAATCTCCCCTCCATACATCATCCAAGATGTCGGGCGCACAGCAGGGTGTGTATTACATCGACGAATTGCACGAGACGACGCTGACCAGATCGCAGACAAGTCCCTTTTCGGGATGCCAGGTTTCGTGGTGGACTTCTTGAGTACGTTTATCTCCATCGACAGGTTCATCAATCCGTCTGCCATTGGCAATTGGATGTGATGCGAGCGTTGTCGGCCAAGTTTTGCTCTCGCTACAGCCACTAACAGCTTATCAGTGGGTGGTGTTTCCGCCGCCGTCTCGAAGACCGCTGCTGCCCCCATCGAGCGTGTTAAGCTCCTCATCCAGAACCAGGTAAGCATTATCAGAACCTCGATCCCCGCATCTCGACAATTGCTAACCCACCCCGCAGGATGAGATGCTTAAGTCCGGTCGTCTCGACCGCAAGTACGATGGCATTGGCGAGTGCTTCAGCCGTACCGCTAAGAACGAGGGTGTCCTCTCCCTCTGGCGTGGTAACACTGCCAACGTCATCCGTTACTTCCCCACCCAGGCGCTCAACTTCGCTTTCCGCGACACCTACAAGTCCATGTTCGCCTACAAGAAGGAGCGTGACGGTTACGCCAAGTGGATGGCCGGTAACTTGGCCTCCGGTGGTGTAAGTACATCCGCTCAATGTATGCAAATCACAATCTAACAATAACAGGCTGCCGGTGCCACTTCCCTCCTCTTCGTCTACTCCCTCGACTACGCCCGTACTCGTCTCGCCAACGACGCTAAGTCGGCCAAGAAGGGTGGTGAGCGCCAGTTCAACGGTCTCGTAGACGTCTACAAGAAGACCCTCGCCTCCGACGGTATCGGCGGTCTCTACCGTGGTTTCATGCCCTCCGTTGCTGGTATCGTTGTCTACCGTGGTCTGTACTTCGGTATGTACGACTCGATCAAGCCCGTCCTCCTCACCGGTTCCCTCGAGGGTAACTTCTTGGCCTCTTTCGCTCTTGGTTGGGCCGTCACCACTGGTGCCGGTATCGCCTCCTACCCCCTTGACACCATCCGTCGCCGCATGATGATGACCTCCGGTGAGGCCGTCAAGTACAAGGGTACCATGGACGCCGCTCGCCAGATCGTTGCCGCCGAGGGTGTCAAGTCTCTCTTCAAGGGTGCTGGTGCCAACATTCTCCGTGGTGTTGCCGGTGCCGGTGTCCTGTCCATCTACGACCAGGCCCAGCTCATCCTCTTCGGCAAGAAGTTCAAGGGTGGATCTGGTTAAGCGCCTTTCTTCCCTCTACGATACCCCCAACCTGCGTTTATGTGGTGGAAGCAGTTATTCGCGACGTGAGAGATGGGGATGGGGTGTACGTGTATGAGAACGGCAACACGCCCTGCGGGCCGACGGTTGTTCTTGGTTACGAAAAGCACGATCCCGGGTGGTAATACACTCTTGTACTTTATACATTCACACGTCATATCCGGCTTGCAATGCTTCATCTGTTTCTGGCTGTACTTCCTCTTTTCATCGCTTGGTGCAATGGGGAAAATAGTGGTCTATAGAAAGTCATGGGTTTCTTTGTATGAACAAACTGCTTCTACTATGAGTGATGCACTGCTCTCCTAACTGCCTATGCTCATTCAACCCCTCTCCAAGCCTAGCACGTGCTCAGAACCCGCCGCCATTTTTACCCTGAACAGCTCTCCACACGCTCTCCTCGCCCTTCTTCAATGCCTCACCCGCCTTGTTCAGCATGCTCCACGCCTGTGCCCCGACACCCTCCCCCTCAGCGTCTCCCGCTCCGCTCGACTGACCAATGCCTCCGCCAGCAGTATACGGCGCGTTATCCATCGCCTGAACATAACCCGGCGGGTGTTCCAAGCTCGTCCTCGTAGGCTGCGCTTGATCAGCCGTTTGGAACGGCGACGCAGCAGGGCCGTAGTTGAGCGTCGTAGGACCAGGTTTGCTAGCCGCAGCAGAAGGCGTTGTAGACGTCATTGTCGACCGGCCTGCTAGCATAGAGTCTGAAGGCGGAGGATGGCTAAACTGCGGCGGCGGTGGTGCTTGCCGTGTCTCCGTCGTTATAACCGTTGCTGTTGGGACGGCACCTGCTTGCGGCGCTGCTGGTGTGTATCTGTCGTTTCCTTCTGTCATTCCGACTGGACCTGTTGGTGCGGCGGGACGGGCGCCGGGCTGGGGAGCTGGAGGGTTCGACGATGCATCTTGTGTTGTTGTAGCGGGGGCGTAGGCGGGCGTTGTGCGTGTGGGAGGTGGGTTGGAAGCGTTGTCGGGGTTTGAAGAGGCGGTTGAAGGGGTGATGCCGTCGGGTTTTGCGGCGGTGGTGGGCGCGATGGGCGCGTTTTTGTGGATGGGGATTGGGGGCATGTTGGGGGCGGTTTGTGGGGGTCTGAGGTGTTGTGTGAGGTGTGTGTGGTTTGTGTGGAGGTGGTGAGGATCGTGGAGGGTGTAGTCGCGGTAAAGCGGACAATTACTTCATGAGTTATTGAACGGTAAAGTAGGTGTTCTGAAGGCAACCTAGAAGTATGAACACGTTGTAGAAACTGTTTGTTGCTGCCTTGTGCTGTGCTCTGCTGGCCTCTTCGACGCGTTCTTTGGTTCAGATGAAGGTGCTTGCTGCTTTGGGCGATGATGTCATCTACCACGTGAAACCTTCTTTCGACCTCTGCAGCGCTGTGGTCCCTCGCCCGACTTCACTCCTCGATGTCATTCAAACCTATGATTATGCACTGCGACATCAGAGCCCAACACGCTTCGGACCCGTTGTGCAGCCTCGGTGTGAGTACACCCTGGTAGCAATCACAATTGACCATAGGTACTCACATTTCAACTGTCATTCTGTCCATGACTGGCCGGATACACGCATATCAGCACTGAGATTACCAATTTCTTCCTTTGTCGTTATTCCTTTTCTCATGCATATCAATATGTAGCTATGCTAAGCCTCGAGCGGCTGTTCGGCGCAGTCGAAATTACACTCACAGGTCAAGAGAAGCTTCACGGCTTCGTATCCGTTTCGTCCCTTCCTCGATCCTTCTCTTTAACCATTGCCCATCTCGCTTTGCCCATCCCAATCTGCTATGGCTACAAGTGCATGCTGCTGTGTGCTTTGATCAGGAGTTGGGTCCCACAAAGGACCGATGGTGATAGATCAACAGTCCAGACGCTTCGGTAAAGCAAGAGATTTCGAGCCTTCTCAAGAAAAGAAAATTTGCCCACGCTTCCACGCTGCGACGAACCGCACACATTGATACGGCCGAAAGACTTGCACATCGTCATACCTCCTTCGGAGTACCTCTCATATCGGTCGCTCTGCACGCAGCCCGACAGCCGCCCACACCAGATCGAACGTGGCACCACAGATCCATATTTTCAAGATTGAACAGATGCATCAGGACCATCTCCGTTCTTTCAATACTTTCGATACATGTGGTTTACTGATCAATCACGACTCAAGCCGCCCGCTCCACCACTGAATCGGTAGCGATACTAGCAAGCGCCCGCCATGTCTCCACAAGTCCTCTAGCCAAGACGTTCCTGCGGGTGCGCAGTTACGGTGTTCAAGTGTGCCCTTGTTTCGAACGACGTCCTTCGCAATCTCACATCGTGAAAAGTGGAGTTACCCGCGCCTGTTTGGGTTAGTCGTTTCAAACAGGATCCTTCCGCATGGTTGCCAAGAACGTTTGACATGTCGCGACGTTTGTCCGCTGTACGGAATCCAGCGAGGGAAGAGAGCTCACCCGAGATCGTGAGCGGTAGCCCTGGTATTCCATTGTGCCGGGTCCTTCGGCGGAGCGTATTGGTGCGAGGACGTTGAAACTATTGTGCCCCGAGCGTCTATGCCGTCGGTAAGGGCCTGTCCACGGCGGCGGAGACACCATACCTAGACAGCCAGCACCGATGCGAGCGGGTACCAGACGCAGTATATAAGGATGTGCGTGACCGTCCACTGAGATCTTCGGCAGCAAAGCTCTTCCATTCTTTTCTACAACAACTCCAGTCCTTCGCTTTTCCCCTTTCACATTCATTTTCCAACTTGAACAACATACTTCTTTCGACAATGAAGTTCTCAATCATGTCTCTCGGCCTCATGGCTGTCTCTGCTCTGGCAGCACCCATGCCATCTCAGATCGCACCCAAGCGTGCCGGTCTCACCAAGCGCGCTGCATCTCTGGAAGATGTCGCGACCACCGGTTTCGCTACTCAGAACGGAGGTACCTCTGGAGGAAAGGGAGGCAAGACCATCGAGGTTGGCTCTCTCAGCGACTTGGAAGCTGCCGTCAAGGGCGACGCCGCCGCCATCGTTCTCATCACCAGCCCCATCAAGGGCAGCGGCGAGAACGTCAAGATCGGCAGCAACAAGTCCGTCATCGGCAAAGACTCCTCCGTCGTCCTGACCGACTTCACCCTCACCGTCAAGGCCGTCAAGAACGTCATCCTCCGCAACTTCGCCATGGAGAAGGTCGTCGGCGGCGACGCCATCGCCATCCAGAAAGCGCAAAACGTCTGGGTCGACCACGTAGACCTCTCCTCGGACCTCGACCACGACAAGGACTACTACGACGGTCTCCTCGACGTAACCCACGCCGCCGACTACGTCACCATCTCCAACAGCTTCATGCACGACCACTGGAAGTGCTCTCTCGTCGGCCACTCGGACAGCAACGGCAGCGAAGACAAGGGCCACCTCACCGTCACCTACAACAACAACTACTGGAAGAACATCAACTCGCGCGGCCCCTCCTTCCGCTTCGGCACCGGTCACCTCTACAACAACTACTACGAGAACGTCAGCGACGGCATCAACACCCGCCAGGGCGCGGAGCTCCTCGTCCAGAACAACGTTTGGTCTGGTGCTAAGAAGGCGCTTTACAGCAAGGATGGTGGCAAGGCTGTTGCTGAGGGCAACGACTTTGGTGACAGCGAGAACACGGCTGATAAGGGGTCTTTGACTAAGATGCCTTATGAGACTAAGGAGATGCTTGAGGCGGGTGCTGTTAAGGCTGCTGTTGTTGGTACTGCTGGTGTTACGCTCAAGTTCTAAGCGTGAGGTTTGTATTTGGGGTAAGTGACATGATCATTCGGGTTTGGAGATGATTAAAAGATGAAAGATGAAGGGGACTTTGAAGACTTCGATTTGTAAATATTTTGGTCAGATGACCTTTTCTTGTATATATGGACGCTGTGCGGACTGTTTTGAGCAATGAAAAGGACACCTTTTTGTTATTTCTTCATTCGTACGTGCCTTTAGTTTTTGAGTGCTTACTATTGCTGTGTACTTACACTTCAGTCGTCTTTTCTGGTCATGCGTCGTCTTCGGCTTCCCTCGCAGGGATTCAGTAAACCTGTCTGCCTCAAGGTCACCCCCCACGCCGCTAAGCATCCTTGGCGGACGTATAAAGTCCCTCTCTTCTTCGTACATGCTCTCTTCCTTCCACCAACAACTTCGCAATTCTCGATTCACCAAAATAGCGGTTTGAACAGTACATGTTCTTCCGCTGTCGGACTCAAAACATAGCTGACGAGGTTCTTATGTCTCTTCTCTTTTCCAAAAACAATCCAAGACACCTACATGTAGCAAAGACGATCGAGACAGCTGCATTTCTTGCGACGAACTTCATGAGCGAGAGCTATGTAAGATTCTCTCTTTGAGCTCTGTATCTCTCCTTTACACACTTCCTTCTTTCACCAAAATCAAAAGAGGCAAAGAAACTGTCGATGGCCGTTCTCCGCCCCAAAACTCATGAATGAAGAACACATGTGTGAGACGCGACAAAATAATATACGATGAAGTTATCATGTTGGTCCAGCCCTCAAAAACAAAATGCACAACCTTCATGACCAGCCTGTCGCTTCGCAGGTCGCATATAAATTCAACTCTTCAACTCATTCTTCTTTCTTCTTCACACTCACATCTTTGCTCCAAAACCAAATAGCAAAGCTATGCTACACATGGCTGTTCTCCGCTCCAAAGCGCGCAAGTCGAGATCATATGTGTGAGGCGCGACAAAAGCCTTCTCAATCACAACATCATGTCGACCCAGACTTTCAAAACCGTGATTGCCGCGTCCGATGGTCTGCCTCGCGCTCTGCGGACAACACATATATAACTGCATCTTCCACTCTCCCTTCTCTTTCTTCAAACATCTGCCTCTTCAGTTTGGCAATACTAAAAATCAACCAATCACCGCTTCATGGCTGTCCTCCCCTCCAAAACCTACAGATTCAGGCAACATGTGGAAGTTGCGACAAAAAGGGGCCGATGATGATCCCATGTGGAGCCAGTCTCTCAAAAACTCTAACGATGTTCTCTATGGTCAGCGTGAAAATCTGGGAGGATTGCATGTGACATAATGTCCTCTTCTCGCCCTTCTCTCTTCTTCACATACATATCTCCCTGTCTTGGGAACCAAAAGTCCAATACAAGGGCGCGATGGCTGTCTCTGGTTTCTAACAATCTCCAAAACAAGACATCCATGAGCTTCGACAGAAAGTGCTGTCTCCATGGATCATGTTGAGCCCGTTTTCCAAATCTTATAGTGATATCATTCATGAACAGGTCAGACTAGCGCCTTGGGCGCGGCATATATAAACTCCCCTCTTCTCGTGCACCTTCCTTCTTCTCATCACAAAACTTCAGTTTCTTACTCCAAAACATCGCCGATGAACATCTATGTGGTGTCCATCCGCCCGAAAGATCATTGTAACCGGCAAATGTGCGAGACACGACCGAAACAACAAATGCGCAGTACCATGTCGAGCCTGTCTATCGAAACAGCGACCGAAAGCGGGTATGTGTGCTTTCGAGGTCACGGCGCAAATGAAGCGTAGGACTCCGCCTTCTCTTCTCTGCTCTCTCATCACATACACTCTTCTTCATTTTCAAAAACCAAAGATCCATGACTTGTTGTCAACGTTCTCCTCCGCTCTGCTTCTCAAAAATGGTGAGCGACACAATGATGTGCTCGTCCCGACATAAAGACAGCGGAAGTGAATGTCATGCTGTGCGGCCTCTGCCCGACATAAACAACAGCATCAAAAAGCGCATGACGACTTCCTGGCCCATCGCGACCGACGTATAAAAGCCTCGCCTTCTCGTGTGCCTCTCTTCTTCTTCACACGCCTCTTCTTCATTTTCAAAATCCGAAACGGATAAGGATTATGTTCCTTCTCTCTGCTTTCGAATACTCTGCAGCGCGCATACATGTGTGCGACTCTTGTGACAACATCTCTCGAAAATGCGGCTACGTTGAGCGCCTTTCGCTGGCCACGAAAGCGATAGCCAACAAAGACATGGCATCTCGCTACCCAGCTGCGAGCGGGGTATTAAAGCCTTGTCTTCTCGCGTACCTGATCTTTTGTCGCACACACTTCATTATTTCAAGACTAAAACTCTGGTTCTATATGACCATGTTCTCCTCTTCTCTGTTCTCAAAAAGGCAGTACCTACAAGTTCATGTGCGCGTCTCCTCAAAAAAGTCAATACAACTTCGCCATGACGAGCGTCTTCTGTGGGACACAAAAATCAAGCGCAGTAGTTGCATGGCGTTTCGCTAGCTAGCCGTGAGCGATGTATAAAAGTCTCGCCTTGTTGAGTACCTCCTCTCTCGTTACACACACTTCATCATTCCAAAACCAAAACATCGGTGAACATGTTCATGTCCTCCTCTTCTCTGCTTCTCAAAAGTTTACTAAAGTGGGTTCATGTGCGCGTCTCCTCAAAGATCAAAATCAACTCCGCCATAACGAGCGCCGTCTGCGCGAAACAAAATTCAAGACTGACAGTCGCATGGCGTTTCGCTGGCCAGCTGTGAGCGATATATAAAAGCCTCCTCCTGCTGTACCTTCTCTCCTCACATCCACACTTCTTCTTTCCAAAACATAAAGTCAAGGAAGTCAATGTTCTCCTCCTCTCGGCTTCCAAAAAAGAAAGAGAATGTTGCGCCATGTGCGCGACCACCCAAAAGGACAGATCACACACCTCTATGTCGAGTGCGTCTGCTCGTCAAAAAGCAATAGCCATGTGCATGATGGCGTCGACTCTCGGCCTTTCTGGGCATGCGATATATAAAGCCTCCTTCTACTGTCCCCTTCCTTCCCACATACACACTTCTTCTTTCCAAAAGGCAGACCGAGGCGCACATGTTCTCCTCTAAAATAAATACGCCTCTATAACATGTGCGAGACCACCCAAAAAGATCCCCGCGATGTGCCGATGTCGAGCACTTCCGCCTGCCAAAAAGCCTGCGATACATGTATCATGGCGACACTCGACCTTGCTGGGCGCGCGATGTATAAAAGCTGGCTCTTGCTGTACCTTCTCTCCTCACATACACTCCTGCCTTTCCAAAATCTAAAACACTTCACGTTCCGCTATATGTTCTTCTCCTCTCTCCTCCAAAACTCGTACGATACCATCGCATGTGCGAGACCATCCAAAAAGATCCCCGCGATGTGCCGATGTCGAGCATTCCCGCCCGCCAAAAAGCCTGCGGTACATGTTTCATGACCACTCTTGCTCTTACCAGGCATGCGACATATAAATACCTGCTCTTCTCGCTGCCTACCTTCTCTCTCTTATCCCACACTCCATCCACGGAGTACCAAAAGGCATTGCACGTCTACCAATGATCTGCGCCTCTTCTCCAAAATTCCCTACTACCAGGTCAATGTTCCAGTGACTCCTCGCTCCTTTCCCAAAAATTCCAGAGCGCTCGCGAATGTCCGCCCCGAACTCGATCAATCTCTTCAACACCATTTTCGAAAGCCACGAAGGACCAAGATATGTGCTGCCTGTCTTCCTCGTCTCTTCACTCTAAATCTTCAGCTGAAACATTACATGTCTCCAGTATTGCGACTTCCCAAAAACATTGGACGTCGATCGCATGAAAGGGACGACAAGTCCGCATTATCAAAAAACACACCGATAACTATCAAATGTCTTTGTCTCGCTTCAAACCGCACACTGTCCATACTCATGACGGTTCGCTCGCTGAGCAAGAACCAAAATGAGCGAAGCAGGTAGCGAATGAGCGTACCAAAAGGCGATTGGCTTCAGCTCATGACCAACTTGCCGGTTTCGCTGCTTCATATCCAGCATAACACGCCGCTCAAGACTTACCACGACATCTACATGACGGAAAGAGAAAAGATAAGCGCTTGCTGAAGGGGGTGCTGGGGAATACATGACGTTTCCTCGTATGAAAACGCAGGGGACGCATGTCCACGTATTCTGCACAGATAGTCATGGTATCGCGTAGTTAAAATAGTGTAGCAAAGTAGTCAGCACACATCATCATCCTATCGCGTAGCAAACACAACATCACACCGTATCCCTTAAGACAACCACAAAACCATCTCATCATAGGGGGTATTTCATTCACACCTCTCAGTGTCTCACAGACAAGCTATGTACCTCTCAGTAGTAGCGTAACCCTTCCGTCTCATTCCAAAACAATACACATTACAAGGACAACTAAGGACGTCCCTTTTTCGGCGCCAAAAACTCCACGCCGGATTGACATAACAACCGTGATGAAAAGCAGACCCTGCGAAAGCCACGCACGTACGACGACGCGCTTACGGCTCCATGAAACCGTTACCCTTGAGCTTGCACTCTGTCTCCAGCTCGAAACTCTTCTCAAATGCGCGCATGCGGTTGTCGTTGTCTGCGACGCGGACGCGTTGGATTGGGGGGCTGAGCTTGGTTGTGACCTTCATGTTGGGCTTGGGGAGGGTGCGCTTCTCGTCGGAGTAGCGGGCGCCATTGACGCACTTGCCGTTGTTGGACCACTGGGCGTCTGCGGCGGCCTTCCATAGGGCGGTGATGTCGACGGTCATCTCCGGGGTGAAGTAGAGACGGCAGTCGGCCTCCTCGTATTGGAACTGGAGGGAAACACCGGACGTGTCGTTGGCGCGGAGCCCATCGCGGGTGTTGACGGCTCCGCCTCCACCGACGCTGCGGGCGTAGACGAGATCGCTGTAGTAGTCTTCCCTCAAGATGGAGGAGTTGAGAGCAGGGTCGAATCGGACAGCGTACTGGAC